TAGCCAAAAATTTAAAAAATTGCAAAATGCTCCAAAATTGATGAAACTTTACAACAATGTTAATAGACATCTGTAGATGCTCTCTTTGACTGGGGGAAGGGTGCCATCCGTTATTGCTAGCAATTACAAATCTAGTTATTATGGCACCCTCAACGGAGGTGACATATTGTTATTCTACGTTTCTTTTTCTTCTTCTTCTGATTATTATTATTATTATTTTTCTTCCACATTTTGTCCGTGCGATTTCGGGAAATCCAATAGACCAATATTGATGGAACTCTACTATATTGAGGACCCCATGTGAAGTTGTGCACGAAGCATGGAATGGTTCAAGATGGCGACCGTTTCCATGGAAACGAAACAAATGTGAAAAAATCCTGTTTTTCGTTTTGATGAACTGGATATGCTTAAACCTAGAATCATTATATTTTAATACAATGTAGGTGTCCATTATGTACTGGTGTTGGATGATTTTAGCAATCATTGGAACTACTATGTTGCCATGGAAACTACACCAAAAATTTCAAAAATATCAAAATGCTCCAAATTCAATGAAACTTCACAGTAACGATGAGCAACATTGGAAGATGTGGCATTTGGAGTTAGAATTTCCAAAATGGCTGCTGTTACCATGGAAACAATGCAAAGAGGTCAAAATGCTACAAAAATATCAGGGTTTGGTGAATACTTTTCGTATGCTTTAACTTAAAATCATCAAATTTTTATACAATATAGTTGTCTATTATATACAGATTTTGAATGATTTTGACAATCATTGGAACTACTATGTTACCATGGATATAGGAGCAAAAATTTCAAAAATTTCAGAATGCTTCAAACTTAATGAAACTTCACAATAATGTTGACTGTCATGTGTGGAAGCGGCAATTGGCGTTTGAATTTCCAAAATTGCTGCCGTTACCATGGAAACAAGGCAAAAAAGGAAAAATTATGCGTAAAATTTGTAAATCCGCTAAATGTTCTAAAAAATTACAGAAAGATGTATAGCCATCAGTATATATGTGCATTCACTCTTTAATATTTTAAAACTGGCTGCAATCAAGTGGCAATATGGAAAGGGTGACACCCGCTATTGCTTGCAATGGCAAATCTAGTTATTATTACTATTCTTCCACCTAATTTTGTCCGGGAGTTTTCTCAGAGCCAAAGGAACTAATCTTAATGGTTGTTCACTATAACGAGGAACCCTGACTTTCGGGTTGCAGTGCAACTTTGGAACTAAAAAATGGCTGCCATCACCATGGAAACCAAAATAAGGTGAAAAAAATGAAATTTTAGGGTTTGTGAATTATTTTGGTATGCTTAAACTTAAAATCATTAAATTTTGATACAATGAAGTTGTCCTCTATATACAGGTTTCGGATGATTTTGACAATGATTGGTACTACTATGTTGCCATGGAAACTGCAGCAAAAATTTCAAAAATTTCAAAATGCTTCAAACTTCATGAAACCTCAAAGTAGAGATGAGCAACATTTGTAGACTTGGCGTTTGGCGTTGGAATTTCCAAAATGGCTGCCGTTACTATGGAAACAATGCAAAAAAGGTCAAAATGTGAAATTTTTTAATATGCTTCAAATGTTCTGAAAATTTACAGAAAGATGTATTGCCATGCACATATGTGCATTCACTGTTTAAAATTTTTGAAATGGCTGCCACTTAGTGGCAATGGGGGGAAGGGTGACATCAGCTATTGAAGAACGTTAATTGACATGTGTAGATGCGCTGTATGACTTCGGAATTTTCGAAATGGCTGCCGTTACCCTGGTAATGGGGGCACGAGGTTGCCATCCGTTGTTGCTTGCTATTACAAATCTAGTTATTATTCTTATTCTTCTCTTTATTTAACCCCTATAACTGTCCTACTATTTTCTTGAAAGCGGTAGAGGATGGAAACTGTATATGTATACTCTGTATGGGTTTGTATCATAGGGGTTGCAGAACCCAATGTTCATGATACCAGGGTGTCCATTTGGCATAATTAAGGGAGCTCAAAGATTGGTGGGGTCAAAAAAACTTTACACATTTCTTAAATTAGTGTTTTATGTAGAGGAGATAGAATTATGATTATTTCTATGAATATTTAGAGACACATGTCCACTTCAACATGGAATATTTTTTATTTCAGCTGGGGGTCTCATTGGCATAATTTGAGGGGGTAAATTTTCATTGAACATTCCAGAACATCAGTGTTGAATTAATTCTAGAGACAAAAGGTCTTATACGATCGTAAATTATTATGGGTAGCACCATATGTAGCAGGAGTTTGACATTGGAATTTTTAAAATTACCGCTGCCATGGAAACTGAAAAATGCCAAAATTTCAAAATTCTCTAAACTAACTGAAACTTTACAGAAATATTAACTGGCATATATATATCTGGCATTCGACTTTGGAATTTTCAAAATGGCTGCTGTAACCGTGGCAATGGAGGGGGGTGATATCGGCTATTGCTTGCAATAGCAATTCTAGTTATTATTATTCTTCCACCTTTTTTGTCCGGAGTAATCCTATAAAACTGAAGGATCAATAATTATCAAACTTAAGCATAATGGTTATCACCATATGTAGATTTGCATCCTTCTTTGACACTAAAAAATGGCTGCCGTACCATGAAAACCGAAAAAATCTAAAATAATAAAATTTTGGGGTTTTGTGAATTATTTGAGTATGCCTGAACTTAAAATCATTAAGTTTCTATACAATGGAGATGTCCACTACATACAGATTTTGAAAGATTTTGACAATCATCGGAACTACTATGTTGCCATGGAAACTACAGCAAAAATTTCAAAAATTTCAAAATGCTCCAAACTTGATGAAACTTCACAGTAATGTCAACTGGCATGTGTAGATGTAGCTGACCTTACCATGGAAACACTGCGAAAAGGGTCAAATTGCTCTCAAAACCTTTCTAAAAACCTTTAAAGTAGCATTTCCTCTCCTAAAATGGTGGGTCAAACCCATTGAAACTTTGATGGTATGTTCCCTCTCATGTACCAATGTGGCTTGTCATTAACAATTTGGAAATGGTCACCGTTACCATGGAAACAGCAAAAATGTCCGAAATTTCAAAATGCTCCAAACTTGATGAAAAATTATATAAATGTCAACTAGCAAGTTAACATGAGATTTTTGAATTTGGAATTTCAAAAATGGCTGCCGTTACCATGGAAACAGCAAAAATGTGTAAAATATTAAAATGCTCCAAATGTTTTGAAAATTTACTGAAAGATGTGTAGCCATGCATATATGTGCAATCATTCGAAATGACTGCCGTTTATTGGCATTGGGGGAAGGGTGACATCTGCTATTGCTTGCAATAGCAATTCTAGTTTTAAATATAATGTTTGTTCCACTTTTTGCTATAATTTTGACTACCATGTGAAGTTATCCCTCTGACTTTGAAATGTACAAGATGGCCACGGTTACCGTGAAAACAGCCAAAATTTAAAAAAAAAATCAAAACTCTAATTCCTTTGTTATAAGACCCAATATAATAAAACTTATACAAATGTTGTCTGTGGTATGTTGAGGTACCGACAATATTCAGAAATTCCAAAATGGCCGCCATTGTCATGGAAACAGGTAGAAAGTTATACCTTTACCACATGGTAAAACATACTTTAAAGCAACATTTTCTTAACGAATATTACATCAAACCCAATAAAACTGTTTTTATACAAAAAAGATGTCGCCTATATACAGGTTTTGGATGATTTTGACAACAATTTGGAACCACTATGTTGCCACTGAAACTACAGCAACTATCGATACCGTTACCCTGACAATGGGGAGACGAGGGTGTCATCCGCTATTTCTCAAAATTGCAAATCTTCTTCTGCTTCTTTGTCCTCTTCTTCTTAGAACTTCTTCTTCTTCTTCTTCCACTACTTTTGAATTTGAACTTGTCTGCACCCGTTCTCCAAAACCGCTTGTCAGATTAATTTAGGGTTCCACAATATGTTAGACTAACATATCTACTGGTACAATCAGGGTTTTATTTGTGCAATTAGGTTTATAAAGGGGTACTTTGAGGGGCCAAAAGAAAGGAGGGGTTTACTATAGAATCCTATAATATTTTAAGTTTTGTTATTTTCAAATGATTATATCTTGAGAACAGTTAGTGATAGACACATAGGGTCTTCAGTAATGACCATGGGAACATATGGCTCTTTAAAGGTCAAATGGGCAAGGTCATAATTTGACCTGGAACTTTTTTTGATCTTTTTTTAATAAGGAGAGTCCTTAAGGGTTGTACAATCATTTCTTGTAGGAGTACATGTATATATCTCCAAGTTGATACAGTTTCCATGGCTTGTATTTCCTATCATAATTTCCTTGATAAATGGTTGCTGCTCACAAGAAAGCTATTAGTTAATATCGTCCCTTCCTAAATTTTACAGACGGTATCATGAGTTGTTTGACTGTTATATGGAATATCCATTTCACAGATGACAACGGATATGTTCCAATTGTTGTAACTACAATCCTGTCACCTTTTCTCTAAGTATGACATACCGAACTAAAGTTATCACCAGGTGTGTACTAACATGAGCAACACGACGGGTGCCATATGTGGAGCAGGATCTTCTGATCCTTTTAGAGCATCTGAGATCACCCACAGTTTTTGGTGGAGTTTGTGTTGCTCATTCTTTGGTTTTCTAAGTTTTGTTTTGTGTACTGTTGTTTGTCTGTTTGTCTTTTTTCTCTTTTTAGTCCTGGCGTTGCCAGTTAATTTTTTACTTATGAGTTTGAATGTCTCTTTGGTATCCTTCTCATCTCAGTTGATATCATAAAAGAAAGGGACACATATCTGAAAGAGTGTAATTAAGGAAAGGAAAATCTTTGAAATGGTAATTTCTCTCTATTTCTGTCTTTTTTTCTTATCTTGAAAATTCATGATTGTTTATTAAAAAATAAATGACTGTCTAGCAATAGGATATATTATATGACATTATTTTTTTGTATATTACAGATATATCAAGGTAAACGAGCAAAACGAACACACCTAATAAAATGTTGATGTCAGTTGCAGTTATGTTGTTTATAAGCCTGTTGAAAAGGGATTTAGTTAATGGATGTCCTACAGCTTGTTTTTGTATTAATACACAAGTTAGTTGTTTCGGAGTGAATTTAGATGAAATACCGCATACAGATATTTCTTCAACTACAACACACTTGTAAGTACTATACATTACATATGTTATAATCCCAGGTTTTTGTGCATTTGTGATGAAATTGAATCTTGAACATCGCAATATTCATAAACTTTTATTTCTAATAATTACTGCTCAAATCTCATCAATCAATTCGAAAGATGCAAATAAAGGTTAAAATAAAATACGAGGGAATCATTTGACAAAGAAGGAGATAGTGACATTGTGAGTTGACATGTTCTAACAAATGTTTCTATCACATTCTTAATTCATCGCAGTACGGCAGGGACTAAACTTTACTGTTTTTTTACTAGGGGTCAGCTGGACCGCTAAAGTATTTTTTTCAGGGACCCAGTTGAAATTGTAGTGGCCCAACCAATTTTTATACATTTTTTGTACTAATAGCAGAAACCTGAAATGCACTTTGTATACACTAATAAAGCTTTTTTATGCAGTCCTACATATATATGTAGCTTTTGATTCTGGTAAAGATTTTATGTAATAACTTTATAATATTTTAATTATTGCCACCGGAAATTTTTAATAAGATTTGACAATACAATACATTTCCTACCAAAATTGTCTCCCATTAATTTGAACTTCCTGTTGACATTGTGACAATATGGCTGTTTCTATGAATCATTGATTGCTATTTCAAATCCAAGCCATCCTCTAATAGTGTTGATCAAAAATATGATTCACTTACTTTTTATTGAAGATTGGAAAGCAAACTAGATATTTTGATGTTTTATGAAATAATCGTAGAAGCTTGACAATAATGATAGGAACACATGTTTAGAGAAGGGGTATATATCAAATCGTGACTTTGCATGGAAAATATAGTTGTCCGACCAGGTTTGGATTTTAAAATGAACTTGCTGGTTTTCGGAAATTCTCGATTTAATTTTCCGGCTTCAATTAGACAATCAGGTTTTCGTTTGGGAACAGTTTTTGTGTAAATCGCGGGAAAATTTTATAAAATGGACGTGGTAAAGGATATTATCTATGATATACCAAACGCGTTAAGTTATCGACCTGCCAATATTCCACGGGCACTTATTTCTTTTATCATGCCACTATTGTATACATGATCTTCATCAATGATGATGATTTCTATCTATACCTATAAGCTTTTTATATACCTCATTCACGACTAAAAATATATCCCAAAATTTAACAAACTGCCAATACTTTGCATCTAAATACTAATTGTTGTTAACTGGTCAGGCGTTTTCTTTCACTTTTTAAAAATGGTTCTAATTGTGTAAAATATCAGCAAACTGTCTTGACTATACAATTAAATGATAGTCTATCATAATATTGTCTACTCTATAGACTTCGTATTTTCATTTCTTACAGTCAAATGTAGTTCATGCAATCGTTGGTCTATCCTTTTACTGGTCCACACCAAATGATTTAAATACTCATTAAATAATGAATACTTTTCACTAAAGCTTCATTCCTTATTCACAACTTTGTTTTTTAGAGATTTAACAAAATTTTTCGTGTAGATGCTTTAGAATGTTTTGACCTGCGGAAAGTAACAGATATGTAGGTTATATATATCAGAATAAGGAATATCGTTCTTATATCATGTATATTGAACGAAGTCCTATGATCATCGCTGTCTTGGTATCTCTAGTTTTGGATATAAAAGATTTATTTTTCATTCTTTCAGAATTCTTGGTGAAAATAACATAACAACAGTAAGACCAAATGCGCTTTCTGGTATAACATCCCTTATAAACTTGTAAGTATTGATACACGGGCAAGGCAGTAGGTTTTTACCGTAATGATAATGCAGTAAGAAATTACTTTTAAAAGTGATAATAGACAGATTTTAAATCACTACACATTCATGTAAGTAGTTTTCATATTTACAATGTCCGTTGTCTCCAGTTTGTTGTTCGTGACTTTATATATTAACTTAACATTGCTCCAACATTTTACTATTTGTATTAATTAATGTTGACATTTAACTATGAGTTTTATTTGTGTTGACGAAAGATAGGCAAAAGATGCCAAACGGACATTCAAATTCATAAGTCGAAAAAAAGACTTTAATCCGTATGTAGGCGCTGCTGGTATGTTGCTGCATTGAAATGGAAATACCTCAATTAGAAAATTGAAAACACCTCTTTGGTCGTTGAGTTTAGTTCTGATCTGAGCAGGAAGTGAAATTGATATGAAATGAGAAGGATCAAGAATGGGGGTTTTTCTGTTTATCCTATGACATGTGTAACTTCTAAATAATAGGATATGCTGACCCATTCGGGGACCAAGAGATCTCCCAACCACTTGTTTGGTTGGTTTGTGTTGTTCAGTCTATAGTTTTGTTTGTAGTGTTTTGTGAACTTGTTTGTCTTTTCGTTGTCTTTTTTTTTTGTCATGGCCTTATCAGTTTCTCGCAACTTATGAGCTCTCTAATATCGAGGAATTCGCTTTTGCCTATCTTAATGCCTAATCATTGCAAGAATATAAGTCAGTTGTTTTCCATTCATTCCGTTGGTGAATAGTGTTGAACGTTGGATTTTTGTCATGTTTAAATAATTTTCCCCTTTTTAAATTTACCGTGTTATGAATGGGAAAGTTACTTTTCATTTCATTTCGTCAAAAATCATCCCCCCTTGTTTTTGGATTTGTTTTATTATACTCTTAGTTATCTGTGATCATTTGTTTTTTTCTCGGGTTTTCTTTTTGCCATGGTGTTTTCTGTTTTTCTGCAATGTACGTCCTGATTAATTTTGTTGTTATTTTTGTCGGAATATTTCTAGTACAGACAAGATGAACAATCAAATACTTATTATTCTGTTTAACAATATTCGAACTGCAATAAATTCGGATCATTATGTCATATGAATTATTGAATGAATATTGCTATATTAGGACAATCCAATAATCAGAAATGAGATGAGATCTTGCTTGCATTGTTCATTTCAGGTGAGATTATTTTCCTGTCGTTCCGTTAGTTGATATAATAGTCAGAGCGCTTGAACATGTCATGTTGCATAAACTTGGCCTTGTTGTCGAGCCTGCGACATGTTGTGCGAAACTGAAACATAGCGATCCTCGATTCCGTCATTGGCGTCGGCGTCAGCATTTAGGTTAAGTCTGTGGTTAATGTTTTTTTTAGACATCAATAACATGAATAACTTTGTCAAACCTTAATTGAATTTTAGGAATTGGAAAGAAGCTTCTTTATGACCAAAATAAAGTATCCAGAGCAAAAGTTCTAAAATATTTATTTTCATTTTTTCGTATTTTACTGATAAATGGACTTATTTTTTTTACAGTTAACATTCAAATTTAGTCTGAAGTGAAAGTTTTTCAGTCATCAATAACTTTGTCAAACCTTTATGGAATTTTAGGAAATTTGGACAGAAGCTTGTTTATGACCAAAGGACAGTATCCAGGGCAAAATTTTGAAAATATTTATTTTCATTTTTCCGTATTTTACGGATAAAATCGACTTATGTTTTAGCTCACCTGGTCGAAGGGCCAAGTGAACTTGTCTTATCACTGGAGGTTTGTCGTCCGTCTTCGTCATTTTTGTCTGTCATCGTCGTCGTCCATCTCCGTTAACTTTTACAAAAATCTTCTCCTCTGAAACTACTTGGCCAAATTTAACCAAAATTAGCCACAATCATTATTGGGGTATGTAGTTTAAAAATTCGTCCGATGACCCTACAAGCCGACCAAGATGGCTGACATGGCTAAAAATAGAACATAGGGGTAAAATACAAGTTTTGCCTATTATTAGAAAAACCGCTTTAAATAGAGAAAATCTGACACGAGCAAAAAGTTCATAATGTTGAGCTCTAACTATTGTTTTTTCACGTCAAAACTGTCAAACGATTTCTTATAGGAGTTATTGGCCGAAAAGGATGAATTTATCATTTTAAATTTTTTTACCTGTTATCTCGAAATTAAGAATATATATATAGGCAGAAACTTCAAATAGCACAAATGATCGGCTAGACAAGTTCCACAAATAAGCCAAAAAAATGGCAGAAATCTGCAGTCGACTCGTTATTGGAGTTATTGCCCTTTGATGATCATTTTAACATGTTTTGGCATTTTTTGCCTATTATCTTGAAAACTATAATAGATAAATAGAAACTTTATAAAGGAAAATTATCAGTAGGATAAAATCTACAAATATGTCAACATGACTGAAATGTTAAGTTATCTCTGAATATTTTGTATTTTTGCTTAGTTTTCTCATCATTTTCGTCCGTCCTCCGTCGTCGTTAGCTTTTACAAAATTCTTCTTCACTGATCCAAACTTAACCACACTTGGCCATAATCATTATTAGGGTATCTAGTTTATAAAATGTTGCCAATGACGCTGTCTGTCAACCAAGATGGCCAACATGGCGAAAATAAAACATAGGTGTAAAATGCAAGTTTTGTTTATTATCTTGAAAACCACTATAAAAAGAGAAAATCTGACAAGGGCAAACACATTTGGAATTATGAGATCTACTTATTGTACATTTACTTCCAAACTGTCAATAACTTTTTAAATTTTTGCCCATTATCTTAAAAATTATAATAGATAGAGGCAAACTTTATATAGCAAAAATGATCAGCAAGATTAGTTCTACGAATGAATCAACATTGTTGAGATCGTCTGATGACCCCTTATTAGAGTTAATGCCCTTTAATGAAGATGTTTACTTTTTTTTTCGTTTAAATATTCGATCCAACATTAAATTTGTAAAAAATTCCTTGTACCACTCTGACATTTTTTCCCTAAGGAAACTGTCAGAACTGCCTATTGTTTTCTTGTCAGAAAAACACCACACTATAGAAATGAGAAGGTGTGGTATGCTTTTCATCAGGGCAGCTATCAACCAGAGTCAAAATGACGTGGATGTATTTAATCAACTGACCACTGAATGCATATTTTTGTCTTTGAATTTCGTAAGATAATATTTTCCCTGTTTATCTCATATTCAACATCTAAAAGTGGACCACTTTGGTACCATTACTTTTTCAATTCAAGATCTTGAGGCAATCTCATATTCGTATTGACAATGCTGTGCTTGGAATTGCTTTTAAACAATATAAGATCTACATTTCATGTTAATTCAGTGTAATAGTATATATTCCCAAATCTAAAAACCGTAAATTTCTGAAATTAAACGTGGATATTGACAGAGCATGCTTAATAAAATTAGCAACAGATAAAGAAAAAACTACAATCACGTCATCTGTTTTTAACTTTGACACTATGTAATTCAAATGTTGTAAAAGTAGCTAATGAAAAAATACAAAACAAAAGGACAACACTCAATTGTGAAGCAAGGCACTAGAGAAATAACTCTTTCAGCAATTAATATGACAAAATCAACTAATTTAAAGTTATTTTTGAACCCTAATTAAACAGGATTTGTTTATTATGCCTACACAATCACTATAAATTTATCACAGAAACATTAGATAAAATGTCCAAACTTCAACAAAACCTACTTCTTTTAATCTTGGTTTTACTGTGCGTACTGCTGTGGTTTTGTTTATTCCACATTGTTAGAGGTATAGAGGGAGAGTTGAGATCTCACGAAACATGTTTAACCCTGCCGTATTTTTGCGTCTGTCCCAAGTCAGGACACTCTAGCCAATTGTTAGTGTTGTGTGTTTTTTTATGATTTTGGTTGATTTGAATGTTTACGAGTTTAGTATTTGCTGAACTAGTATACATTATTCTTTAGGGCCGGCTTAAGCTCGCCTCCGGATGTCATATTTTCTCGCTGCGATGACGACCCAGTGGTGGCATTGGGCTGAGTTCTGCTTTTGGTCGGGTTGTTTTCTCTTTGCCACATTCCTGCTTTCTATTCTCTATTTTACCCTATTCAAATTAGAAATAACCAAGATTTGCAACTTTAATTTTTTTTTGTAATTTGTTCCCAAAACCAAATACTTCAAACAAAAATTAGATAACTATTGGTATTGATATCTACATGAATACATATAATGTCAGGGTACCCAGATTGCACCTATTTTGACAGTTGTTTAACCTACGTTTATATATGATCTAGTCAAAAGTGTCCATTCTGTGTTTATTTAGTGGATGTATTCTTATTTACTATATAGTTCCTCCAATTTAGTTTTGAATTCATTTTTAATCATAAAAATGGGTTTGAACCAACCTCCAAACGATCCATGATTATGTTCTGAGAAGTACCTAAATTGCGTCAATGTTAAAATTCACATCATTCTGTAAAAATCAAAAAAATGGTGTTTTGTTTTATCTAGAGGTTGCAATTCTGTAAATATAGACAATGCAATTTCCCATATGAACTCCCTTTGCAGCTAAAACTGTGACACTTTTACTATGAAGTTTCGTGAAAATTAATATCCCAGAACGGAAAGTTTATATGCACTACTATTTTATTCAAAGGTCAAAATATAGGGCTGTGCGGCATATTTTCAACATTTATATGCCCTGAACTTCTAAGAGTTTAAACTTATACTAAAATTCTATACTACCCTTACCTTCATATTTGGACCTCCTAAGAATTAAAATTTAGGCGCTACCATGTTTTTCTATACGGGTTACATTCCCAAGTGATGTCTCTATGAGATGAAACACAGAGATCATAAATGGGAACCAGTACATTAACAAATTAACATATCTATGAATATTATATATCTCCCCAAAAGAGGCGTGGTTTGAGAAACAGCTGTATTTACAAAGTGCAACCTAGAACATTTTGACAATATTCCATGCTTACTATTCATTTTTTTTAAGAAATAGATGCCTGTAACATAATTTAAATGACTCATTTTTAAAAATTGACTTTTTGTGGATGTCCCATGGTAAAGTTTCCGTAGAATAATGTTTTCCAGTTGATGTTTAATCTGTTGATAATATACTGTGAAAGTGAACGTATTATGTATATTTGAACAAAATTAGCTATGTTGAAAGATGTGCATAATGTCAAATCATAAATATACCAATTGTTTAGTCTCTTAACAAAAAATTGTAAGACTTCCGTCACTATTTCTGCTAATTAGGTGCAATTTGGGTACTCAGTGCAATTTGAGTACCGTGACATTACATGTATAAACATAAGCTTATATGGTCTATCTTCTATTAAGATCATATTTCAAAACTCTCAACCATGAATATTTTTTTTTCTATTTTAATATTTCTCTAAAAACCACATTGTACCCAAGAATTACCATTTTTGAATACTAATTACTATAGTTCTTCATAATATAAACAGAATATATAATATGTTGTATTTTCTATAAAGATGCCACATCAACAGTTTTAACAATAATAACCGAGCTTTTTTTTTCAGTTTTCGGGGTTTTTCTCTCTAAAAACATAAATTTCAGCCAAATTTACCTAAATATTAATATGAATAACTATTGGACTTCACATAATAAGCATAAAATAGTATGTTTTGTTTTTTTTTAAAGATCACATTTCACACATTTTAACCATTAACAACTGAGATTTTCATCATTTTCAGTTTTCAGCGTTTTTTTTTCTCTAAATCACACATTTAACCTCAAAATTACTTTAATACGATTAATGATAACTAAAGGGCTACATAATACACTAAAAAAAAGTGTCCTGTCTTCACCAAGCTATAACTCTCAAATGTAACCATAAATAACTCTTTTTAATTTCTTCCAGTTTTCCGTATTTTTTTTTTCTCTAAAAACCATATATTTCACAACAAAAAAAACCTTTTCCTCAAAATATAATAATGTAGATTTTTAATATGTTGTTAGTACAAGTCTATATTATAATTCACACTTAAAAAAATCTTGTGTTCCAATTAATGGCAGGTTGAGTGATATTAGAGATAAATTGACTAGGCTATCACTTTTTATGTCATCATTACACTTTAGACTGACAGCAGCAATCGCGAGACACAAGGTACCTCGGAACATCTTATGTATTTTTGAATTAACATTAAAGTATGGTAGTTTTAATGAGACATATTTTAAACATTCCCCTTTTCAAATGTTGGACGGGCTTTTGTTTTATTTGACAGTTGACATGTAGTCCAGTCCATTAATTTGTCGATCAATCTTATTATTGTGTTTAATCAAATGATGTTACTGTCTAATAAATTATGAGTATAGATGACAAACATATTTGATCCACTGAATAACTGAAGATAGATCTTTGAAATGTTTTATAATTTGAATATCAGTAGGTTAATTAAGTATATTCATGATCATTGACTCTCTATTTGATATTTGCGTTATAACAAGTAAGAAAGTTTCCCAAAAGGTCAGTTAACCTTGAACATGTTGAACAAAAATCTTCAATATGTCAGACTTAAACTTATTAAAAGATTATATCAGGAGGTTTGTCACTATTATAAACTTATTGACTACAAGGAGATCAGATTGGTAATCTTTGGTAAGTTCAGAATTAGTGCTTTAATGGAACATGTTCGGTATCGGTGTTTTAATTTAACATGTTCTTACAAAATCAAGATATTTGATTTCCTTCCAGATTTTTCCAGCAGAACAAGTTAGTAACTTGTATATCTAATCACGTACACACACATCTGCTGATCTTACATATACTTGTGTGCCGAAAACTCAGTAGTTTTGTCATCATTCTATTTTAATTTCGTTTAATAATGTTGAATTCTAAAGCAATGGAAATCATATCAACAATATCAGGTTGATAACAATTACATTTGATCCATTGAATAACTGAAGATTAAACTTTGAAATGGTATCCAAAGATCTTAAACTACGAAAACATGTTGATAACAAGTAAACGCACAGAAACCTCGTATTAGTCGTGCACCCAATTCGTGATGGTGACCGTAAAACTTATGTAGTGTAATTTTTGTGATTGAAAGCTTTAAAAATTGCATCATTAATGTCAGTTTAACGAAAAATATATTTCATCTATTGAATACACAGAAACTGCAATTGGAAATCTTGTGAAATTTCAGTATCAGTGTTTTAATTGAACTTGTTCTTACATACCCAAGATGATTGATTTTCTTCCAGAAATTTAGAGGAAACCAACTTAATTAGTTTACCAAAAGATCTGTTTTTGTCGAAGATAATCATGATAATTTCAATCTTAAAAATTGTTAGTAAGATGTATGGTCATCTTAGACTTTGATTTCCTTCCAGATATTTATCCAGTAACAAGTTAATAACTTTACCAGAAGGTCTGTTTTCTAACAACACAAAACTTGAAACATTGTAAGTATGAGTTATGCTTATCTTAGACTGTATCATATTATAGATTATATTGTATATTTAATCACGTACACAAATCTGATTTTCTTCAAAATACTTGTGTGCCGAGAATTCAACAGTTTTACTATCATTCTTTTTAAATTTAGTATTAATTTAGATTTGTGCTAATAGCTCGGCAGGTTTATCACCATTCTATTGTCTATGAACACTTCCTTTTTATATGCTTATTTAACTTTTAATGTTATTCAATATTTCAAAATTAATCTTAGAATTCCTTTTGGTAATTTGAATATAATTGTCTTGATTAAATATGTTCTTACATAATTAGGATGCTTGATGTTAATCCAAAATTGTAGCCAAAGACAACAAGGAAAGTTTACCAGATAGTCTGTTATCATCAAACACCAAGTTACAAGAATTGTAATTGTGAATAATGTTTATCACAGACTTTATTTATTTTATTAAAGATTGTGTTGTTTATATAATCACGTACTTATATAACTGATATTCCTCAATATACATGTCTACCTTCATTTTATTTTGTTAGCAAACTATCTTTGTGCATACCTAATGTTACTTTAAATGTCACTCATTATTTAAAGGTTGCAGTTGAAGCTTATAAAAATGCATCAACAATGTCAGTTTAAAGAAAAATATATTTTATCTTTTGAATACACGGAGATCGAATTTGGTAATCATTGGTAAGTTCGGTTTCGGTGTTTTAATTAAACATGTTCTTACATAATCATGATAATTGATTGTCTTGCAGACATTTAGGAAATAACAAGTTAGTAACTTTACCAGAAGGTCTGTTTTCTAGCAACACAAAACTTGAAAATTTGTAAGTATGATTTATGCTCATCGCAGACTTTTTCTTACATATAATATTATTTAAATTATATATCTAATCACGTACACACACATCTGCTGTTCTTACATATAATTGTGTGCCGAGAACTCAGTAGTTTTGTCATCATTCTATTTTTATTTCGTTAAATAATGTTGACATTTGAAGCAATGAAAAATACATCAACAATATCAGGTTGATGACAATTACATTTGATCCATTGAATAACTAAAGTTCAACCTTTGAACTGTTTGGTAATTTGAGGATAAGTAGGTTAATTAGGTATATTCATGATCATTGATTTTCTATTAAATATTTTCTGAATAACAAGTTAAAAAAATTCACAATAGGTCAGTTAACATTGATCATGTTGAACACAAATCTTCAAAATGTCAGACTTAAACTTATTAAAAGATTATATTGGATTATTGTTAATCATGTTCCTATATAAAGCGGTTTTAATATACTTGTGTGCCAAAAGCTCAGCAGGTTTATCACCGTAATAAACTAATTGAATACAAGGAGATCGAATTGGTAATCTTTGGTAAGTGCAGTATCAGTGTTTTGATTTAACACGTTCTTACACAATCAAGATATTTGATTTTCTTCCAGATTTTTAAGGCATAACAAGTTAGTAACTTTACCAGAAGATTTGTTTTTGTTCAACCTGAATCTTATAGAATTTTAAGTGTAATTGATATTTATATCAGACTTAAACTTATTTAATATTGTGTAGAATTTTTAACCTCGTTCATATGTTTTCTAACAACGCAAAAATTAAAACATTGTAAATATGAATTATGCTTATCTTAGACATTTTTGTATTATATATTATATTGTATATTTAATCACGTACATATATCTGATTTTCTTCAAAATACTTGTGTGTCGAGAACTCAGCAGTTTTGCCATCATTCTTTTTTAATTTGGTTCAATATTTTATGTTGAATTTTAAAGCAATAAAAACTATATCTATCATATTAGGTGGACGACAAATATATTCGATCGATTGAATAACTTAAGATGAACCTTTAAAATGTACGGTAATTTGAATATATAAAATAAATTAAGCATGTTCATGATCATTGATTTTCTATTAGTTATTTAATGAATAACAAGATAGAAAGTTTACCAGAAGGTCAGTTAACATTGAACATGTTGAACACCAATCTTCAATATGTCAGACTTACACTTATTATTAAAATATTATACTAAGTTACACGAATTGTAATTGTGATTAATGCTTGTTACAGGCTTTTGTATATTAAAGATTGATTTGTTTATATAATGACGTACATATATAATTGATGTTCCTCAATATGCTTGTGTATCAACAACTCAGAAGGTCTACCATCATTTCAATTTGTTCGCAAACTTCCTTTTTGCATACTAATCTTACTTTAAATGTCGGTCAATATTTATAAGTTGAAGTTTAAAAAAATGCATTAACAATACCAGTTTAAATAAAAATATATTTTATCTATTGAATACAAGGAGATCGAATTTGGAAATCTTTGGTAAGTTCAGCTTCAGTGTTTTCATGTCACATGTTTTAACATAATTATGATAATAGATTTTCTTCCAGATATATACATTCCAACAACTTAGTAAGTTTACCAAAAGATCTGTTTTCGTCGAACTCGAATCTGAATACATTGTAAGTATGAACTATGGTCATCTTTGACTTTATTTAATTTAGATGATATTATATATTTAATCATGTACTCACATATCTGATGTTCTTCAATATTCTTATGTGCCGAGAACTCGGCAGTTTTGTCATCATTCTATTTTTATTTCGTTAAATAATGTTGAATTTTAAAGCAATGAAAAATACATCAACAAAATCAGGTCGATGACAATTACATTTCATACCTTGAATAACTGAAGTTCAACCATTGAAATGTTTGGTAATTTGAAAATAAGTAGGTTAATTAATTATATTCATGATCATTGACTTTCTATTTAATATTTGCTTTATAAAGTAAGAAAGTTTTCCAAAAGGTCAGTTAACCTTGAACACGTTGAACACAAATCTTCAATATGTCAGACTTAAACTTATTAAAATATTATATTGGATTTTTAATCATGTTCCTATATAAAGCGGTTTTAATATACTTGTATGCCAATAGCTCAGCAGGTTTATCACTATTATAAACTTATTGAATACAAGGAGATCAGATTAATAATCTTTGGTAAGATCAGAATTAGTGCTTTAATGTAACATGTTCTTACATAATCATGATAATTGATTGTCTTCCAGAAATTTAAACAATGACAAGTTAGTAACTTTACCAAAAGGTTGCAATAGAACCTTATAAAAATGCATCAACAATGTCAGTTTAAAAAAATATATATTTTATCTTTTGAATACACGGAGATCGAATTTGGTAATCACTGGTACGTTCGGTTTCGGTGTTTCAATTTAACATGTTCTTACAAAATCAAGATATTTGATTTCCTTCCAGATATTTAAAGCAGAACAAGTTAGTAACTTTACCAGAAGGTCTGTTTTCTAACAACACAAAACTTGAATCATTGTAAGTATGATTTACGCTCATCTCAGACTTTGTCTTACACATTATATTATTTAAATTGTATATCTAATCACGTACACATACATCTGATGGTCTTACATATACTTGTGTGCCGAGAACTCAGTAGTTTTGTCATCATTCTATTTTAATTTCGTTAAATAATGTTGAATTCTAAAGCAATGAAAATAACATCAGCAATATCAGGTTGATGACAATTACATTTGATCCATTGAATAACTAAAGTTCAACCTTTGAACTGTTTGGTAATTTGAGGATAAGTAGGTTAATAAGGTATATTCATGATCATTGTTTTTTTATTAAATATTTGCTGAATAACAAGTTAAAAAATTTCACAATAGGTCAGTTAACATTGATCATGTTGAACACAAATCTTCAAAATGTCAGACTTAAACTTATTAAAAGATTATATTGGATTATTGTTAATCATGTTCCTATATAAAGCGGTTTTAATATACTTGTGTGCCAAAAGCTCAGCAGGTTTATCACCGTAATAAACTTATTGAATACAAGGAGATTAAATTGGTAATCTTTGGTAAGTGCAGTATCAGTGTTTTGATTTAACATGTTCTTACACAATCAAGATATTTGATTTTCTTCCAGATTTTTAAGGCATAACAAGTTAGTAACTTTTCCAGAAGATTTATTTTTGTTCAACATGAATCTTATAGAATTTTAAGTGAAATTGATATTTATATCAGACTTAAACTTATTTAATAGTGTATAGAATTTTTAACATTCTTACAACACAAAAATTAAAACATTGTAAATATGAATTATGCTCATCTTAGACTTTTTTGTATTATAGATTATATTGTATATTTAATAACGTACACATATTTGATTTTCTTCAAAATACTTGTGTGTCGAGAATTCAGCAGTTTTGCCATCATTCTTTTTTAATTTGGTTCAATATTTTATGTTGAATTTTAAAGCATTAAAAATTATATCTATCATATCAGGTGAACGACAAATATATTTGATCGACTGAATAACTTAAGATCAACCTTTAAAATGTACGGTAATTTGAATATATAAAATAAATTAAGTATGTTCATGATCATTGATTTTCTATTAGTTATTTAATGAATAAAAAGTTAGAAAGTTTACCAGAAGGTCATTTAACATTGAACATGTTGAACACCAATCTTCAATATGTCAGACATACACATATTATTAAAATATTATATTGGATTATTTTGTATTATGTTCCTATATGAAGGGGTTTTAATATTCTTGTGGGCCAATAGCTCAGCAGGTTTATCACCATTATACACTTATTGAATACAAGGAGATCAAATTGGTAATATCTGGTAAGTTCAGTATCAGTGCTTTAATGTAACATGTTCTTACATAATTATGATAATTGATTTTCTTCCAGAGATTTAGAAAATAACATGTTAGAAATTTTACCAAAAGATCTGTTTTTGTCGAACACGAATCTTAATACATTGTAAGTATAAATTATGTTCATCTCAGACTTCATTTTATTTTAAATGATGTTATTTATTTAATCATGTACATACATATCTTATGTTCTTCAAAATACTTATGTGCCGAGAACTCAGCGGTTTTTTCATCATTCTATTTTAATTTTGTCAATACTTAATGTTTAAATTGTAAGCAATTAAAATAAAATCAACAATATCAGGTGGATGACAAATATATTTGATCCATTTAATAACTGAATATAGACCTTTGAAATGTTTGGTAATTTGAATATCAGTAGGTTTATTAAGTATGTTCATGATCATTGATTTTCTGTTAGATATTTACTGAATAACAATTTAGAACGTTGACCAGAAGGTCTATTAACATTAATGCAAATCTTCAATATTTGTAAGTGCAATTGATATTTATATCAGACTTAAAATTATTTATTATTGTGTGGAATTTTCAGCCTTGTTCATATGTACCCGGTATTTTTGATATACATGTGTTCCAATAGCTCAGCAGGTTTATCCCCATTCTATTATCTATGAACACTTCCTTTCTATATGCTAATTTAACTTTTAATGTTATTCAATATTTCAAAATTAATCTTAGAATTCCTTTTGGTAATTTGAATATAATTGTATTGATTGAATATGTTCTTACATAATTAAGATGCTTGATTATAATTCAAAATTGTAACCAAAGACAACAAGGAAAGTTTACCAGATAGTCTGTTATCATCAAACACCAAGTTACAAGAATTGTAATTGTGAATAATGTTTATCACAGACTTTATCTATTTAAGATTGTGTTGTTTATATAATCACGTACTTATATAACTGATATTCCTCAATATACATGTCTGTCGACAACTCAGAAGGTCTACCTTCATTTCATTTTGTTAGCAAACTTCCTTTGTGCATACCTAATGTTACTTTAAATGCCACTCATTATTTTAAGGTTGCAGTTGAAGCTTATAAAAATGCATCAACAATGTCAGTTTAAAAAACAAAAATCTATTTTATCTTTTGAATACACGTAGATCGAATTTGGTAATCACTGGTAAGTTCGGTTTCGGTGTTTTAATTGAACATATTCTTACATAATCATGATAATTGATTGTCTTCCAGACATTTAGGAAATAACAAGTTAGTAACTTTACCAGAAGGTCTGTTTTCTAGCAACACAAAACTTGAAAAATTGTAAGTATGATTTATGCTCATCGCAGACTTTTTCTTACAAATAATATTATTTAAATTGTATATCTAATCACGTACACACACATCTGCCGTTCTTACATATACTTGTGTGCCGAGAACGCAGTAGTTTTGTCATCATTCTATTTTTATTTCGTTAAATAATGTTGAATTTTAAAGCAATGAAAATTACATCAACAATATCAGGTTGATGACAATTACATTTGATCCATTGAATAACTAAAGTTCAACCTTTGAACTGTTTGGTAATTTGAGGATAAGTAGGTTAATTAAGTAACTATGTTCATGATCATTGATTTTCTATTAAATATTTGCTGAATAACAAGTTAAAAAATTTCACAAAATGTCAGTTAACATTGATCATGTTGAACACAAATCTTCAAAATGTCAGACTTAAACTTATTAAAAGATTATATTGGATTATTGTTAATCATGTTCCTATATAAAGCGGTTTTAATATACTTGTGTGCCAAAAGCTCAGCAGGTTTATCACCATTATAAACTTATTGAATACAAGGAGATCAAATTGGTAATCTTTGGTAAGTTCAGTATCAGTGTTTTGATTTAACACGTTCTTACACAATCAAGATATTTGATTTTCTTCTAGATTTTTAAGGCATAACAAGTTAGTAACTTTACAAGAAGATTTGTTTTTGTTCAACCTGCATCTTATAGAATTTTAAGTGGAATTGATATTTATATCAGACTTAAACTTATTTAATATTGTGTAGAATTTTTAACCTCGTTCATATGTTTTCTAACAACACAAAAATTAAAACATTGTAAATATGAATTATGCTTATCTTAGACATTTTTGTATTATATATTATATTGTATATTTAATCACGTACACATATCTGATTTTCTTCAAAATACTTGTGTGTCGAGAACTCAGCAGGTTTGCCATCATTCTTTTTTAATTTGGTTTAATATTTTATGTTGAATTTTAAAGCAATAAAAATTATATCTATCATATCAGGTGGACGACAAATATATTCGATCGATTGAATAACTTAAGATGAACCTTTAAAATGTACGGTAATTTGAATATATAAAATAAATTAAGTATGTTCATGATCATTGATTTTCTATTAGTTATTTAATGAATAACAAGATAGAAAGTTTACCAGAAGGTCAGTTAACATTGAACATGTTGAACACCAATCTTCAATATGTCAGACTTACACTTATTATTAAAATATTATACTAAGTTACAAGAATTGTAATTGTGATTAATGCTTGTTACAGGCTTTTGTATATTAAAGATTGATTTGTTTATATAATGACGTACATATATAATTGATGTTCCTCAATATGCTTGTGTATCAACAACTCAGAAGGTCTACCATCATTTCAATTTGTTCGCAAACTTCCTTTTTGCATACTAATCTTACTTTAAATGTCGGTCAAAATTTATAGGTTGAAGTTAAAAGCTTAAAAAAATGCATTAACAATACCAGTTCAAATAAAAATATATTTTATCTATTGAATACAAGGAGATCGAATTTGGAAATCTTTGGTAAGTTCAGCTTCAGTGTTTTCATGTCACATGTTTTAACATAATCATGATGATTGATTTTCTTCCAGATATATACATTCCAACAACTTAGTAAGTTTACCAAAAGATCTGTTTTCGTCGAACTCGAATCTGAATACATTGTAAGTATGAACTATGGTCATCTTTGACTTTATTTAATTTAGATGATATTATATATTTAATCATGTACTCACATATCTGATGTTCTTCAATATTCTTATGTGCCGAGAACTCGGCAGTTTTGTCATCATTCTATTTTAGTTATGTCAATACTAAATGTTGAATTTGTTTAAGCAATTAAAATTACATCAACAATATCAGGTGGATGACAAATATATTTGATCCATTAAATAACTGAATATAAACCTTTGAAATGTTTTGCAATTTGAATATCAGTAGGTTTATTAAGTATGTTCATGATCATTGATTTTCTGTTAGATAGTTACTGAATAACAATTTAGAAAGTTGACCAGAAGGTCTATTAACATTAATGCTTCAATATTTGTAAGTGCAATTGATATTTATATCAGACTTAAAATGATTTATTATTGTGTGGACTTATCAGCATTGTTCATATGTACCCTGTGGTTTTGATATACATGAGTGCCAATAGCTCAGCAGGTTTATCTTCATTCTATTGTCTATGAACACTTCCTTTTTATATTCTTATTTAACTTTTAATGTTATTCAATATTTCAAAACTAATCTTACAACTCCTTTTGGTAATTTGAATATAATTGTCTTGATTGAATATGTTCTTACATAATTAAGATGCTTGATTTTAATCCAAAATTATAGCCAAAGACTACAAGGAAAGTTTACCAGATAGTCTGTTATCATCAAACACTAAGTTACAAGAATTGTAATTGTGAATAATGTTTATCACAGACTTTATTTTATTAAAGATTGTGTTGTTTATATAAACACGTACATATATAACTGATGTTCCTGAATATACTCGTGTGACGACAGAAGTAACTCTGTAACTCAGAAGATCTACCTTCATTTCATTTTGTTCGCAAACTTCCTTAGTGCATACTTTAAATGTCACTCGTTATTTAAAGGTTGTAGTTAAAGCTGATAAAAATGCATCAACAATGTCAGTTTAAATAAAAATATATTTTATCTTTTGAATACACGGAGATCGAATTTGGTAATCTCTGGTTAGTTCTGTATCGGTGTTTTAATTTAACATGTTCTTACAAAATCAAGATATTTGATTTCCTTCCAGGTATTTACGGGATAACAAGTTAGTAACTTTACCAGAAGGTCTGTTTTCTAACACAAATCTTCATTATTTGTAAGTGTAATTTATATTCATATCAGACTTAAACTTATCTAATATTGATGAATTTTTAACCTCGTTCATATGTACCGTGTGTTCTTCAATATTCTTCTGTGCCAATAGCTCAGAAGGTTTATCGCCATTTTATTGTCTATAAACATATCTTTCTTACATGCTTATTTAACGTTTAATGGTATTCAATATTTCAAAATTTCTCCTAGAGTTCCTTTTGGTAATTTAAGTATTATTGTCTTGATTAAACACGTTCTTACATAAAAGTAAGTTTACCAGTTGGTCTGTCATCATCAAACACAAAGCTTCGACTATTGTAAGTGTGATTGATTACCATCTTAGCCTTTATCTTATCATATTCCTATAACGATCATATATAGTTGATGTTCTTCTATACATTTGAGGGAGGCCGGGTAGTCTATGTAGTTTAACTACTGTATCACAAGCCTATTAACACTGAAGTAGTGATTTCAAACAACGCATGTGACATTTGATTTCAATATTAATTATATCTATACCTATGTACATACTCATTTTACTCCTAATCTCATTCTATATTTAAAGGTAAGCCTTTGAAATCTTACGTAATTCAAGAACAATTGTCTTGATTGAAAATATTCTTACTCAATCATGATACATGATTGTCTTCCAAGTAAGGAAAATGGCAGTTGTTTTTCACTTATTCCATTGTTGGATAGCGTTTGATTTTGTCTGTTTTTATGGACTTCCCCTTTTTGAATTTGCCTTGTAGTTCAGTATTTTTGTAATACTTTTTTGAAACCTTTAATAATTTGAGTATTAGTGTCTTAAGTTTATCTAAGACTTTAGCATGTTTACCTTATCATATGATAGATTGAATTGCATATCTAATCATGCACATATGTAACTGATGTTCTTCAAAATATTCTTGTGTGCAAACAACTCAGCAGGTTTACCATCATTTTATTGTTTACGCACAATTCATTGGTACTTCTTTATTAAATTTTTAATGTCGTTCAATAATTAAATATTGCTGTTCAAAGCAATATCAGTTCTAAGAAAAATATATTTATCTTTTGAATGCACGGAGAACGACATTTGGAATTTTTGGTAATTTTAGCATCAGTGTCCTAATTCAGGTTTTCATTCATGATTATTGATTTTCTTATAGAACTTTGCAGGGTAACTTCTTAATAGGTTTACCAGAAGGTCTGTTCTCGAAAACAGAATTATAATTATAATAATTTGTGTTGTAAGCATCTGTTTTGTAGGACAGTTGTTCCTCTTGCGTAATAAGATGCCTTACTTAATGTTTATTTTAAAGCTCTATCTATTTTGATTTGATGATTTATATCTTCTTCTGCAAATATCTGTAGAAACAACAGGTACTTTGTCGTTGTTTCTATAATTCCATGTTGTTGCCGTATCATATATATATTTCTTTCCTTCGAGATTTTATATTGTTTCGCAATAAAGTGAAAAAGCAGAAGTCACATGGATCTGTACATGACATAGAAATTAACCTTATATTGAATTTTTAAGGAATATAGAGAGAAACCAATTCATATGCTGCCTCATGATTGATTTTAAAGAATGGGCATCAAATCAAACAAACCTGGTTTACGAAGGAACATGTATTGGTTTAAATACCACCATAGATATTCACAATTTTAACATGACAGGCTGCATAATTCCAGGTAAGCAGTTAAACATATTTCTTAATAAATGATGAAATTTTCTCATATTTTATGTATATGCAATCTATCCATTCCTAATTTGACCTCTGTAGCAACTATCTGAAAAAAAAAAAAAATATCTTAGACATGCTTCTATTTCTTTTTTTCCGATTTGTTGTGAAAGTGCCTGAACATTTAACATTCTCGATACATACCTCATGTCCATTTTTTATTCCATATCTGTATGTCATTAATTTTGTAAAATTTGCTTGCTAAATTTGTTTTAGTTTTTTTTTTATTAAGTCACACTTGTGATGATGAGAAAAACAGTAAGACACTAAGTTGGAGTTTTAACTAGAGCCTCATTCTTTTTACCGACAATTTTAATTGACCAAATTAAGTAACTTTTGACTTACATTATTTAGCAGACACAATCTTAAACAACTGAATACACAGTTTGTTTTTTCTAAATAGTATAGCTTACATGTTTGATATATAGGAAAGGATTAGTTTTTTTTACCTATAAGGTTTCATTTACACTACATGAAATTCATGAAAATTGGATAACTACTGTTGATCATAATAAAAAGGTCAATTCCTGTAAATTCAAGTTATCCAAATTGGCTCTAATAGTCGTTTTTGATTTATACCATGCAATTACCTATTTCCAACTTACAAAACTTCCTGTGGAGTGACTGCAGTCAGACTTTGATTGCTAGAAAAGAAAAGGTTAAACAAGGGAAGAAAGTTTAAGACGAATATCATTCATTAATTCGGCATGCACTAAATAATTCCTAAACAAGTTAAAGGTAAAATTATGAGTATGATGCATGCATGAGTATTTAAATGAGGTCGAACGATGGTTTTGTGGGAATAATTTATGTAAAATTGAGGCTTTTGATTTATGATAACAAAATTGAACTAAACTGACAGCTTATAGTATATAATTGTTCAATATTTTTGCAATAGTATAAATTGATAACGTGTTGTTTTCATTTTTTTAAACGGAGGATGGAGCCTTTGGTTCAACTCCTCATGTTCTGTTACTTGTGGAGATGGTGTCATAATGAAAACCAGAACATGTGACAATCCCCCACCGTCTGACGATGGACTGAAATGTGTTGGTTCCAGAACTGAAACTTCACTTTGCAACTTAGGAAAATGTCCAGGTAAATTCTTTAAATACATCAGATTAAATTTATTACCTTAGAATTTAATTGTTAACCAGAGCGGAACACTTTTTTCAGAACTTATTAAAACCTGTTAAATCTATCATTATATTCTGTGAAATCAGAATGAAAAAAATCATCGAAGATGTAAGGCTTTTTCGCCATATATGGATAAGTCAATCAAAAAACCTTAGCGTTTCCAAAAATTTCAACATTTCAAAAACAATAAACAGTCAGGGCAATAATATTTCTTAAAAATCACTTATTCAAGTAACATTTCCTCCAGAAATGCTGCAAGTAAAAGTAGTCTTTCTTTAACAATCTCCTATTTAAATAGTACATATAAATCACTAGGCTAAGTAGCTTTACATATACAATATTAATGATCCTGGAATTAATTATGATGTTAAAGTTATCAAAAACAACATCTGTGTTGATAAGATGACCTGTCATGTCAGATGATGACCCTGTACTGAAAATGGGATAATAACATGAAAATCACTCGTATCATACCTCTGTTTTCTTAAATGCCCCCCCCCCCTCTCACACACACACACACACACACACACACACAAACACACACACACAGTATTTTAAACACTCCCGAACAGTTTATTTTTTATAGCGAACAGTAAAATTTTATTACATTATCTCAAAACTGAAACCTTGAATTTTACAGAAAAATACGCCCACTCCTGGGAAAAATCTGTTTGGAAAGTATAAGATCATTATGTAAAGCATCCATTGTAGCATTATTTTCAACAATTTTAGAATATACAGAAGAATGATTGCATAGAAGGCATAAACATTGCTACCTAAAAGAATTTTTTATTCATTTTTTCTAATAATTAGATATAATCTCAACCTGTGTGTTTAAACTTCTGGCAAAACTACAAAATCACATAATTTCTAATTTGCTCCTCAAAAATCACTTATTTGTAGCAGTCCAGTGTTTCTGTTGTTCCGTGTTGTTTCCTCTTATAGTTGATGTGTTTCCCTCAGTTTTGGTTTGTGACTCGGATTTGTTTCAGTTAAGTAGATTGATGACTATTGAAGAGCGGTATACTACTATTGCCTTTATTTATAAAACAATTACTGATAGTCAAGGTGGGTCTTTAAAAGTCTCACTGTATTAAGCGAAACCTTGAGTCAATGAGGTTGTATATTGTTCATATCTTTTTACAGAATCATGCCGTCACTCAAACAAAGGATCTAACAACAAATCAGTAGACAATTTGGACAATAAATCAGGTAAATTTCCCCCATAATCTTTTCATTCATTAAGACAACCAGAAGTTATGGTCGACATTAATACAATGTTAGCACTGGCTACGGTTACCCGCAAAAAGTAACAATAAGAAATAATTATTGTTACTTCTGAGACTGCTTGCCGAGATGTTTTTCCAAGTGGGACCCTATTCCATACGTAAATTGCAAGTAACAATAATATAATTTGTTATTGTTCTCTGCAGTAATTATTACCCGCAAAATATATTCAGGTAGGCACTGGTCTAAAAAAAAATGTTTGATTTGCGAGCAATCTATGAAATAAATTTAAACAATTAAATTATGATGTAACATTAAAATGATTAAACTTCCAAATAAATTGACCAATATGACGTTTATTATTGCCATAGGGTGGTCGATTAAAGCTGTTCACTATTCGTTACTCGAATGAGCAAAATGTCCAATTTGTGGTTAGTGAAAAGTTAAAAGAAATCTTTTAAACATTTTAATGATAAACTTCAACAATTCCAAGATGCAAATTCTGTTCAATTATATAGAAGAAGTTCTGATCATAACCCCAGAGGAACAATTTCTTTCATTTGAGAAATTTCCTACGAAATTGCTCGACGACAACATTAATCTCAATCTTGGAATTGCTTAGTGTGTGGTATTCACTTCCATTTATATGAATCTATTGTTTGCAACAGGTATCAGGGTACCACCTAAAATGTGTTGGCCTCAAAGTGTCAACTAAGGCTATATACTGGATGTGCCAGAAGTGCCACCAAAATAGATAGCTATAATACTTCTTATTATGTATAAATGTATAAATGTTGCTGTGTTCATTAAATAATTTCTATTCATTTTTTTTTCAAATATGTTAACCAAAGAATACGGGGCAATGACACGTAGACAGTATAC